AAATTGCGATATCCCGTGTCAACGTCTATTGTCTCTTTAATTGTTTTTTTGTTAACCATTGTTGATATAACCCAGTTAATGTTCATTATTGTTTTGTTCGCAGTTTGACTATCTTGTGTAAATAAGGTCATAGACAATACCTAACTGAAATGGAGTACACAGAGATGGTTAAAAATATATACATTAGCTGTTGCTCACGACTTCGTCCCCGTGATATTAAAAAATATATATCATATGATACGTACTGTAAATTACCTTTCTAACGGTGATAGAATTCTAAAAATCGGCCCAGTTGTGTTATTTCAATACATACAAAAATACAAATCTTTCCCCTTTATAATATTAGTATAGAAAGTAAAGATTTGTCATTCCTTTTGAGGTCTGTTTCTCCTTTAATCATACTCTGAATGTGACACTTCTATTTTATATTATAAAGAGGAAAGATTTGTATTTTTCTATGTATTGTAATAACTCAAAAACTACTGGGCCGATTTTAAAAATTCTTTCACCGTTGGAAAGGTAATTTATCTGTGAGTAACATAGGATATATTTTTTAAAATCACGCGGGCAAAGTCGCGAGAGACATCTAATTATTCATATAACCAATCTAACCATTGTAACATCTTCCATACAAACAGAACAATTAGAATTTCCTTTTGCAATTATTAATGCAACGGAAATAATCGTTCATTGTATCCATCCATTCAACTATACTTGCTTATATACATTACTAACTATATTACGACTTCGCCCTCGTGAAGTTAAAAATTGTAGCCTATGTTACTCACAGACGAATTACCTTTCTATTGGTAAAAGATTTTTTTAAATCGGCCCAGCAGTTTTTGCGTGAATCAAATACATACCAAAATCTAAAAATACAAATATTTTTCTCTTTATAACAGTATAGATAAGAGACTAGATTTTCCCGCGACTTCGTCCGAGCCGATTAAAAAAATACAATGTCTTCCATTTGTGCACAAATATTGTCGAGATTTATTAAGCCGTGGACACAAACATACATATATACAAATTTTCGCATTTACATTAGTATCAAGCACATATAATACAATACAATACTACCAGTATATGTACCAAGTACAATATTTTTAAACGCACTATGACATAAATATCTCAATAGAGATGACCTACAATTTCAGACCTCCACTTGCTTCGTAAAAATCATCACCATATTAAATAACGTTCATAAAATGAACACATTCGTCATTATAAATTTAATTTTACATGTTAAAAAAGTCAAAAATAAACTGTTATATATTTTACACTTATAATTCCGCACGCAAACGCTTTAAAAGTCCTCACAAAAACCCCAGCTCGGAGGAAAAATATCGCCGGTATTGCGGTACCTTTATAATTAGCACCATGAAGGTTTTATGTGCCAACGGTTTGGATTTAAAAATAAAAAGAGTTTTACATTCAAAGAGATTTCTATTTACCAAAATTACAACCTGACCTTAATTTTAAAAAACCAAAAAAACTGACTGACTAAAACTTTATAGTAGTTAAAGCGCGAGATTAGAATTTTTTTAACCAGTATAGATATTTATCTCATGTCTACTATATGTTTTGTGCCTATGGTATGTACCCTATAATACTCTAAGGGAGAAGACGAATCAAACAGTACCTTGAAGCGGGCGCACACCTTTGACTATTTTTTTTTTATAATATAGGGTGGCAAACGAGCAAGCGGCCACCTGAATCCACCGAAATGGAAAGCGACCGCTGCCCATAGACATCCGCAATTGCAGATGCGCTGCCTACCCTTGATTGACGAAGGAGGAGACGCACATAAAGAGGACATATCCCCTTCCTATGCGTCTTCTCCACCGTCAAATCCACTTTTCCTTCCCATCCTTTCCTCTTAAGAAAAGGATGGAAAGGGAAAGGGACTAAAATTAGGCCTCCGGCACCACACTCATCAGACGAAACGCGGAATTGTTTCCACTCCACGCCTGTTTTCTGTGTGGTCATGGTATTATACCGGCGAGCCGGCCCATTCGTGCGAAGATGTTAAAGCGGGCTCTACCACTGTGAAACTACCGCACAATAGTTGTGTTTGTTCCTAAGCCAATTCAACCATTTACTTGAACAAAAAATCGAGTATTGTGTGCACCTCTAAATAAGCTTATAGGAATCAAAGCGAGACTAAACAGTTGTGCGAGAGTTTAGTTTAGTTCAGTCTGTAGGAACGTGTAACAATATTTTTACGACGGTAAAAAAAATACAATTTTAAGACTCCGCTATGATTCTACGTTCGAATACGATCGTTGACCGATGAAGCGCGATGAGCGTTGAATGATGAACGGTGATCGATGACTGAAGATCGATGAATGATGAACGACGAACGGCTAACGAAAGACTAGCAAACTATGCTTGTTACTTTGAACATTTTATTTAATAATCTCACGATACCAAATTGATATAATTTTATATCTAGTAACTAGCTATTGTTCGCGACTTGGCCAGCGGTTAATTAGAAATTGGTACATATTATACCCAATGTTATTCACTGATGACTTAGCTTTTTCATGGGGACAGAATTGTCAAAATCTGGCCAGTAGTTGAGTTATTTTAATACATACAAAAATACAATTTTTTTCTCTTTACAACATTACTATATGAAAAATAAAAAAAAAATACTCATGCATACATTAAAAATATGTAAAACCAACGTATAATTAGACTTGCAAAAATCTTTAGCGTTGTAAAACGGTGTTTTGAATTGAGGTGGACAGTTAGGCACAGGGCACCTTTCACCCGGGGCGATTTAATCCCAAATGTGACGAGGGGATAAGCCAAACCCACATCTGACACAAATAAACGATATGTTTACGTCAACTTTACGTAAGTATAAAAAAGTATTAAAAACCTATAACCAGAAACAAAAAAACAAACTTTATTTTTTATTTTGTTAATTTCGACTAATTCTCATTGTGGTAATTAAAATTTTTATTAGTAAAATTGGCTGTAACTTTTTTCTTTTAATAGTCGTAACTTACAATTTACTCCACTTTAGTTTTATTGCATACTAGATTTCGTCCGCTACTCCGTCCGCGTGGAATTAAAAAACAATAGTAGAATATGTGTTCTTCTAGACTATGCTCTACACCTATGCAAAATTTCATTGAAATCCGTTCAACAGTTTAGGCTACAAACTCTAACATACATCCATCCAACCATCTAAACTTTCGCATTTATAATTACAAGAATTTCTATAGAAAAAAATTAGTTATAACAACTTGCGTAACTTGATTATTTTTAATTAATTTCAACTCCAAAAGGAATAAAAGCGCTGGCATACAAAAACATTCCATTTACAAGCGTAAATGCGAGAAAGTGAAAGGTCTTATTAAAGCGGCGAAGCGATTATTTATCAAAAAAAAACCCTCAGTAATAGACTAAAAAGAGAATCTCTGAGTTTTCTTTTGTATTTCTGAGATTACTGCAGCGTCGAAGCAAAGTACAATATTACATCGAAAAATACACGAAAGAAAATAATTAAAACAAGCAGAGATGACGTATTTAATATGCATTTATCATTTCCACTGCATAAATACGTGTAAACTAATTTTTTTATCTTACTATTTATATAGACTAGCTGTTGCCTGCGACTTCGTCCACGCAATATTAAGATTAAAAAGTAACCTATAGTATCTATGTCTGCTACCCTTCAGTGAAAGTCCGATCGGAATCGGCCCTACCGTTTCGGAGATTACCCGGAACAATCTCGGCTTGCGGACATACAGACAGACAAAAAATTTTAAAATGTGATTTTTGTTATGTTAAAGTTGTCGCAAATACATCATCTTCGCGAAATCTGGTGGTTATTATTATCTCAGAGAGTGCGTTCGGACTCGACTGGCAAGTCTGAACCTGGTTCTGAAAGTCAGGTTGCATAAAAGATGGTAAGCAGTTGCACTTATGCAAACCCACTCATCTTATTCCGTCCCTATGAGTCTAGGCCCAGGGAATGAAGTACTAACTGATAAAGGTCGATTTAGAAAACCTGTTGCCCACTACAAATTGAATTAAAACAGGGAAGAGATGAGTTCTCCTTTGACTTGCAAAGTGGCCATATTTTCGTAAAATAACATTTTTATATTCAATCTGAATAATATTTATTCTTTACACCTTATTCAATACCTTCGGAATGCCGATAAGATTCTTGGAAAAATCGCTAGTCGCAAAAAATACGTTTAAAAATAATAATTCATAAAATTTATATACCCATAATATTCATTAACATCTATTTTAATTATTATAAATTTTATTTAACGTTATCGCCATTTCAATCAGATTGACGTAAAATTATGAGATAGTACTTTTTTTTAAATAAGCATCACGTCTTTGTGTATTATCATTTTTTATCTATATCAAAACCTGTCCTAGGTTAGTCAAGGACTGATGTGAAGGTACGACAAAACGAACATGCATTAACTTTTTTTACGACGAAAGCTAAGAGCTTGGGCTTGATATGATATCAGTTTAAATTATTAAATTATGCCAGTCCAGTTGGACAATGGCGACCAAAATAAGTACAGGCGTGAAACTGGCGCAATGTACACGCTGCCATCGCCAGCGAGCCAATGCCATTCATGCCTGCCCAGTGCAATTGTCCTACAGTACTGGCATATTGTATACCAGGTATTAGGTAAGATTGTCAATATTTTATTTCACAAATAAGAATCTAACAATACCTACAAATCGCATTGATAATTAGTTCGTAAGGAAAGTAGCTGATAAAATTCCGAAAAAGATAAATAAAAAAACAAAGAATTTTGTCAAACCGAAACATGGGTCTTGAGCCCGCCAAAAGATAACCCAAATGGCTTTTGTAAGACATGCATTGTCAGTTATACTTACAAAGAAATCGATTGTAGGGAATTCCAAAACGTTTGTCTCACAGGTAAAAAAACCTAATTTTAACGTTTAAAACACTCAAAATGAATACTACAAGTAAGATTTCAGTTTTTAAGACTTACCATATTATTTATCCAACTGTGAAAGAATCTTCTTATTAACAAAATTCCAGAAAATCACATAATAAGTGTGCACATTACAACCGGCACATATACACCACGACACAACGGATTTCTTGTTCACGAGATGAATCACCAAGAATGCACAACGTTACACATAGATTTTTACCCACAAAATTACACAAAACACTTTAAATTAACCATACTTTATCAAATTAAAACTTTTTGCAAGCGATTTACGACTTTTTTTATAGATCACGATGCTAGATAAAAGTTTTTCAACGCTAAACAACGACGCGGCATCCTGTGTAACGCCCAACGAATGACTGCTCGACTGGTGGGAGAAATATAACCCAACAAAATTAAAATGGCCCTCACTAGCAACCGCGCGTCATAATCCTTCGGTGTTTTCAATTCTGTAGGTTAAACTCTAGAGTTTAATAAACACAAGTTTGTACTAACTTGAGTTAAGTTACTCAGGCATGTAGGTTTACTATTTTTACAATAATATTTTCGTTTGAATCGTTAAAATACTGCTCCGTGCGTGTTTGCGAGCGTCAATAAAAGTTTAAAACAGGAATTGTTTTTGTTCGAGGCACGAATGCATGTACCTGAACATAGTTACGGTTGGTATTGCAGTCACTATTAATGCGTAACTAACTTCACTATAGATAAGATAGCGCCGCACCAGGCGATACCTGCTTCTCTACTTTTTTTCTTCAAAGTTAACTTTGCTCCTTTTAAAAATAATGAACGCAACATGACAGCTGTGATAAATTGACTTTTTTACATTTAGAAAGTTGTCACATAGGTTATTTTTTGTGCAATGGTATACTTATTTAAATGTTATTGCGACTCGAATATTTTAGTAACGGTAAATCAAACACTAATTAAACAAAAAATAAACAATCAGTTCCTATAAAATTTACTTCACTTTAGAAAGCTTTGTAAGAACGGAGATTTAGCGTCTATTATTTGCTCTTTTATATGCATCCGTAATAATTATTGTATTAGCTAATAGCTGGTCTGTTAGGTTTTTATACTCAATAAAGGAGTAAATAATGTAATCCCGTGGGATAATATAACAACGAACTGCTTGACATATCTGAATGTTATTGTTTAATTGTGAACAGAATTCACGTTTGATTTGATTTAAAACGTGTGGGGTGTCATGTTTTAAATGCCTTATTACAACTATCTACAGATGTAATTTTTTTTAGAAAGATTAATAACAGTGGACTGTCACAATGTGCAAAATACAGGTAAAGAAGTTAAGAAACTGTAAGAGTTAGGGAAGAGCGAGGTGGGGCGACCGCCTAGGGCGCCGGACATAAAAGGGCGCCAAAGATGCATAAAGGACCGCAACAGGCGCCTTTTCTCTTGTAGTTTTATAATACAGTAAGGTGGCGCCAATGGCACGGGTATTTGCGAAAACGGCCCTGGGTATATTTTCCCGGGACATTATTGGAGGACCGCATATCTATACTTCTATACTAATATAATAAAGAGTGAACACACACTACTGCGTGACCTAGGAAGTCAGTAATCACAGCATATCTTTGAATAATTCCTTCTTTAATATAGACTTACGAAACATAGGACACGCTTTAAGCTAAATATTTTCATGCTATTAGACTTAGCGGTTAAATAAATAGGTAAAAAAAATATGTGGGAAAGGGACCACAGACAAGCTGCCAACATTAGGGAAGAAGGTTTGTTATGGTAACGGTAATTTTGACATTTGAAATTGAGAATTTAACAAATGTAAACAATAAAATAAAGTTTTTATAATTTCATGCGGATGAAGTCGCACGGGAACACCTAGTTGGAAAATATGAAAGGTATTTTGCGATTGAATACATATATGTATCTTTGTGAAAGCTACGAATCACTTATATAACACTTATGTTTACTACATAGAAGTATAATTATGATGTATAAATAATCAACTATTACGTGCTTAGCTGTGATTTTAAAAATAAGTATTTGTGTTTTTAGATTGTTATCTGATACTCGTAACATGTTGCACGCAAGAGCTCGGTTTAGACTGAAGTTATTAACTCTGAACATACTATATTGACATATAATTAAACAATCATAAATAATTGAATCTGTTAAAAATGTAAAAAGTATACTGCAAGAATTATTGTTGGCAAAATTATTTATATTTCTTGTTTTAGAATATTCTAGGTCCTGTAATAATTTTTCTTAAAAGAAAACTACACAAACCTGTATAGAATTAAACGTAGGTAAGTTTAAGGCTTTAAATACCATATTTAAACTACGTTAAAATTCAAAATCGAAAAACTGGTACAGCGTGTGCGAAACAAAAGGTAATTGCGAATGCGGTGTGGTCCTTTGAGCCGGATGGGTTTTAAACAACTATTTTTATTCATAAATCCTACCTGGCCCATTTCCGAGTAAGATGGTAAACGTCTTGGATTTTACGAGCGCCCTCTTTTAGTTTAATAACAAGTTTTACAACTTCCCATATTTATGGTCTTGTAAGCATATTAGTTGTATGCAAACGGCTCTGTTAAAGTCTTGTGAAGAATTTCATAATAAAATAAATAGATTCCGGCGATGGTTTCATAATAATTCGTTTTTAATATTTCCAATGTTCCATATTCAAAATAATAAATTAACAACCACATTAAAATAAGGTGGCCAGTGGAATTAATCGTTCTGATATTATGCATTTATAATATTAGTATGACATGAAAGGATATCCATCCTTCCGGATCCTTCCATCCATCCGGATGTTTGATGTTTGTTATTACGTATCTTCAACACGTCTTCACAAGTCTTGCTGCTTGAAATAGATGAAGAACATAGTCTTGAAGAACACTAGGGGTATTCATCAGGCGCTGACGGAGAAAACCTAATAACTATTATAGCTGAGTAATTGGATATATGGTTTTTACTGCCTGCTAAGCTTAGATGAATGGATGTTTACAGTTTGTAGCCTAAACTGCTGAACGGATCTTGATGGAATTTGGTATAGATGTAGGAAATAGTGTAGGTAAACATAGGCTACATATTTTTTTTTAATTCTACGCGGATGGTGTTTGGTCAAAGCTAGTAAATACCTAAATATATCAAAATTATTTTGAAGCAAAGATAGATTACACTCTGGAATAGCACATAGGCTATTTAGTAAATCATCAGCCAATTTTTTTTATTAATTATATTGGTTTAAATAGCATTGTTTGAATACAACTTAATTGTATGACTTTAGGTAAATCAATCGAGATATTAATTAACATGATGTTAGCGAGAATAGATGTATACAGTGGAATAGAGTGGGCAGTGTGAATAATTTACGAAAAATATGACCAGTATCGCGTATTCATTGCACTGTTCTGTTCTGGAAGTTATATTATGTATTAAATAACCATTGTATTACTATAATATAAAGTTTTTATAACGTACTAGCTTTCGCCCGCGACTCCGTCCGCGTGGGATTAAAAAAAACAAAAGTGAGTATCCTACGTGTTCTTCCCGACTATCCTCCACATCTATACTAAATTCCATCAAAATCCGTTCAGCCGTTTAGGCTATAAACTCTAACAAACATCCATCCATCCATCTATCCAATCATCCATCTAAACTTTCGCATTTATAATATTAGTAAGAGTAATAGAGATAGAATCTGATAAGAATAAAATAATTGAAAATAGATATATTATGGAAAGGTTGTCATATGGCCGATTAGTGAAAAGAAACTTGAATATTTCGATTTATACACATAACAGATTTAATACTTGGTTGCTGAAGTTTTTATTTTATCATTACCTAGTGATTCGTTAGTGTTAGGTTGACAAGTTTCATAATAAAGTGACATAGTAAAACTCAAATTACGTAGTTCGGAAACGCATTTCATGAAGTTATCGAAACAAAACACTAACCAGAGGTTAAATGTAGGGAAACCGGCTATTAATGTTTTAATTTGGAGTTTAAGGGTAGTCTTATTTAAGACACTGTTACATTTATAAATGTTGTTTTAAATTCTTATCGATTTTATTAAAAAGTTAATTTATGGTTTGTGGTCATTTAAATATTTGTAGTATTTATATTTAGTTTTAAATAAATAGATAAATACACAAAGCGATTGTTTAATGTGTTTGTCTGTGGTAAGCTTGTATTGTGTTGCAGCTCGCCGTTTCACGCCAACACGCAAATCTGACCGCAGAGCAAATACAGTTCCTAATTACGTACAAACTATTCTTTGATGTCAATGTACAATTCTCACGCATATTAACGTTCTCTTTATTATGCAAACAAATTAAAAAGTCCATTTGAACGACTAATGATCATATTGTAAGAGGACGATTGATTTTAATTCGGTTGTAAAGAAAATTTTGTTAATTAATTCATAGTTCAATAGGCAAATATTTTAGTAAGGTTATATGCATATTAATTTATATTTAAATATGAGAAATTGTTGTTTTACAGTACTACTTTTAATTCTTCCATTTAATAATGATTTACTTTACAAAAAACAGATCAGAGTGAATTTTGTTGTGTATGTACATGTACCATGCCTGGAATGGAACGGTCGGCTGCGCCCGACGGCTACGTCTAGGTGACGTCAATAAACCAGTCTGCACTAAGCAAGCGTCGTTTCTGTTACTCCCATACCTATCACTTATGTTATAGGTAAAAGAATTATTATGTTAAAATACAACAAAAAAATACAGACGTATTGAGTGCCTCCTTTTGGGAAGTCGGTCAATAATATGCAGAATGTTTTAATCTATTTCTAAGTACTTTACTATGCAATAGATACCACCTCGTTTCAAAAACTTTCTGATCTCTAAGCGCCTGCCGTAAAACCTCCGCAAGCATACTCGAACCAACTTCACGATCTAGGTTTTCAGGTAAGGCGCTTCACAACTATTTTCCACAAAATTCTCTCGAACGCGTTGGCTAAGTTGAAAAGCAAACGACTTTCAAGCTTGAAAAAGATTTATACTAAATCTTTGTTGATTTCTGTACAAAGCACTTCTAAAATTATTAAGTTAAAGCTTATTTAATTTGTTAAAATTTTTAGGTTAGTTTTCCGTTTAAACTTATTTCTATCCATTAATACTACTTTTAAAGTATTAAAATATTTGTAAATCACTTAGAAAACTTTAATAGCGTGATTCTGTCGCTGCAAGCATACCGGATTTCCGCCAACTGACGTATGCTAATTTCGTTCAACTTCTTTCACCGTCAAACACCTGCAAAGAACATAAAACTTCAAATAGCAATTTTATTGCAAAATTAAACTCAATGCTTGGCATTTTAATAGTGCAATAAAAATAATAACCATTTTTATTATAATGATATGGGCTTGACTTTAGTTAAAATAATTTTTGTCTTTAGCGCGCGTTGCAAAAGTGAAATGCCAACATGCTCAATTTATTTGTCATAAAAAAACTATTAATAATAACTTACGAGAATTGGTTACTTCACCAATTTTTTTTCCTAAATCATGTTTGAATCC